AAGTAATTGTTTCCTACATTTAATAATACCAAAATGGAGTATAAATAATTTGATTTTGATTGGGAAGTAGAGTTGTTACGCTACTTAATGAATAATAGCAAAGTATCAACTGGAGTTTTGTGGGTATTTTTCACACCCCATGATTGGATACCATTGCAACAAATTTTTAAGGAACTTTTACACACGGAGGGTTGTAGTTTATGAAATTATAAGCCACAAGGGATGATAGCATCGAAGTTCGCTCATATGCAATCATTGTCCGTCTGAGCTCCCCTACAAGCTCAAAATGCTCTTGGTAACATATTGAAAGCTTAAAGGTTTAGAATTTACGTTTGCGGATAAGAGTCAAAATTTTGTTTCCGCCTTTGTATCTAACGCGATAGAACCGATTCCTCTGAAATACAAAAAATTCAAAATACTTGTCTACGCTTAATATTTAACATTAAAAAGTATCACAGAATCTCCCATAAACTAATAGAAGTCGATTGGCTAAACATGCTCAACCGTCGAAAACTACACATGCTGTGTTTGTATCACAAAATAATTTCAACCAAAACGCCACCATACTTATACAACAAAATAACTTACCGCACGGACGTACACCACCTGAACTTGAGATTCAGAGGCAAGTTAAGTATACCAGTCATTAAAACAGAACTAGGGCGCAGATCATTTTCCTACTGCATTGCACATTATTACAACGATCTCTCTGATAATCTCAAGTTGTTACCTTTATCCAGGTTTCGGAAGAAAGTAAAAGAACACCTAAGTACTAGTGCTACAAAGTCGAACACATAAAAGCAAACATTTCCATCTCTTTCTCGCATTTGTTTTTTTTTCCATGATGATTATGTTATAGTAAGTTTAAGTTTAAAGCTGTATTTGTACATTTTTAGTATGCCACCAACGAGGTTAAGTGTAAGAGCAGCTAAGAAGAATTACTTCGAAGCTGAACTTCGCCTCAAATTTTCTATTAATTTAATGTATTTTTTTTTCTGAGTGAGACAATAAAGTTAAAGTTAATAATGCATCGGTTTTCTTAAAAATTTTTCAGAATAGTAAAATAAGTCTAGATTAAACCTTTCAAGCGCATGGTAACTAAACCTCTTGTTCTGTAAAGGATAATTGGAAAATACACTAACGTGGTGACGATTTTATCCTTTTTCTAATTAAGTCTATAATTAATTCTTCGAAAAAACCATTTTATGCAGCCTTTAATAGTGCGTAATTCTTTACATAATGTGCATACTTTCGATGTGAAAGTGTAATTAATTAGTCCTTATGAACGTAAAAGTTATAAAGAACTGATGTCTGCTCTGATTCGAATCGTTATTTATATAGGTTTCTTAGTGCTACGGTTAAAATCTGTATCTATTTCTTGAGAAATGGAAATCAATGTCATCGGCGGCTATTTTGAATTTAGTCCTGAGGGCGAACTAATTTTTATATCGAGGATGGCATCATCATCATCCACCTAACGAATTCAAACTTTGGAAACATTAACAGTGCATCCGTACAAATAACTTTTCGCGATGATCTTGATATAAAATCACTTTTGTATAAATTAAAAGATTTCATTTTTCTACCCTTCTTACCAATAAAGACTCGAAATCGTGTGCTAGATAGCATACTAGACACTCATTTTCCACAGGGACTTGCTGTGTAAAAATTGATATATGGATTCTATTTTTTCTAAAGCCAGCTTGTTCAGCAAATTTCCAAATAATTCTTTGATATAGAAGTCTCTATAATCAAGACTTTCAACGAGATTTTTGAAGGGATTATGAAGAGATGAAGAGATTTTGAAGAGTATGTAGCAATCTTTGTGAGTTTTGAAGATTTGGATTTCCTTTATTTTTTTCAAAAGGTTCATTAGTTTAGGTAGGTAGATTTAGACTTAGATTCCAAGTAAATATCCGCTGGGTATGTTTCTCGAAGCACTAGTCTTTCAACCCCTAAACATTTTGAAAAGTTATATACTTTAGGAAGAATTCATTTCAAATTCATGTCAATTTGCTTTTGGAATTGTGGCTATGTGGAAAATTATTTATTCAGTTCGGAGTGAAACAATTCAAAGATCAGGGTTGTAGTCTTTTCTCCAAGGGGGTAATGAAGTTTTTTCTTTTGCATTAAAAATTAAATATACATTGTGCATATCCTGCCCATGATGTTAATGTATTTGAACTGTTTGTTATAAATTAATTTACCATCCAAAATCTCCTAGAATGATATTCAATAGAAATAGCAGTATGAACGTGAGAAAATACCAATTTAGTGATTACAGTGCATATAATGAGAAACGCCAAATGAGCTGCGGGCCAATTAGCGCGTGTGGTAATATAATGTGGCGAACTATCAATCCGATGCATGGTACAGTGAGATTGTATTATTCCTGAAGTTACACTTTATTATTAAATTGGTTCACCGTAAAATGTCACCCTTTATGTTAAAATATGTATTTATTAAGGTGCCGGCCTATACGTACTTCTTAAAATATGTAATTAAAATATTCAGTTGCTGTGCATCGGATATAATGCCAATTTCCACGTCAGAATCGAAATGAAATCATTCGAGAATAAAGGTAATCACGTACAAAAGCGTTATAGTGTAATGTCACCAGTAATTGAGGTATTTTATGAGCTTCTCGACGGCGCCTATTTATAGGACAATTTGATGTTTAATTGGCAACGGTGTCTGCAAATTCCGTCACGTTATTTACAGTATAAGTAGGGATGACAAGTGAAAATCAATATTTCCAAACGATCTTCGATAAATAATTCAAATTTCATTGATTACTACAGTGTGCAATGTGTAAAAATAGTCCTAGGAGATCCCTTGATATCCTCCGAGCTCCCCTGAAATCCACGAAGATTCCAGAAGCTCCGGAAACCACTTAATTCTTGATAAATCCACAAAAATTAATTTTGCAGATATATAGGGCACGCAGTTAAAAGTGAGCTCTGGAAAGATCATGATAGTGTTGTATAATTGCTGTTACGTTAATACAATTGTTTAAAAAAACGTCGTCAAATATTCCGGATTAAAAAGACATTTACGCCTTTTTGATCAAGTTGATGTAACATTTTCAGCGCTTCGGCACACGAAATTCCATTTGCAATGCAAATTTTAAGACAGATTTTATATCTCGGACACATTTTTATTCTCCATATTTTCTTATAAACAAAAATTAAAAAGGTTCATGCTCTAAATTCATATTAATTCCTGGGCGGTAAATTCACTCTATAATAGAAGATTTCCCGCGGTGAATTCGGCTTCGAAAATTTGTAAGGTTCGCCGAGTTTATTAGGGCTATTTTGTACCGGAAATAGAAAAGAACTTTAGAACTGAATTCATTTTAAGCAAGTTTTCGCTGTCGATATTTTTCTGTAATAGAAAACAATTAATTTTATTTCGCACCTTGGAGCTGGCCACATAATTCGCACCCAAGAAAACTCGCTCCCGGAATTTGCAATAAAATAATTCGAAAGGATAAGTTTAACCAAGGAATTCGCACATTTCGGGTAGTGGTGAAATTCGCATAATTAGTATAGAGTGAGGGTGTTAAAATAACAGCACATTTTAATAAGTTAATGGAGAGTGGTGAGTGGCGAAAACTTCAGTTGTGAATAACATAAGAATGGAGGAAATAAGATTAAGAAATTTTGTGAAGAAATTAAAAGTGGACCGACAAAGAATGTTCCTATAAAATTGATAATCCATACTTTTGAGCTATTGTGTATATTAATACAGGGTGTTTTTTTGGGAGTTTTAGTTAAACGTTTCTGGGAAAATGAAATAGGTAGGTTTTTGAAAATTTTTACTTAGGAGTTACTCTGAAGGCCGAATCGATGTAAAATATTTTCAAAATGGGCGCACTTCCGGAAATACCTGAAGTAGCTAGTAACTTCGTTATTTTAAACGGCAGTCCCTATTTTTTATTGCATTTTTGGATTCTACGTGAAATTTTAGTTCTTTTGATACCTACCATTTCTGGTTTTCAAGTTATTTTGGCTTTAAGAAAAAAAATTACTTGAACACGGTTGTAGTTATGGCAACCCATTAATCTTTATCAAGTTCGGGTGCAGGTTTCCTAGTTCCACAAACGTAATTGAATTTTAGATATCTTGAGGAAGCTCCCCAATTATTTGGGCGCAAATTGTCCCGCAACTCTTGGTTGGTACTTTCTTATCTGTGGTCCATGAAGACGTTGACTATTTAATCGATACTCAACGCCTGCTAAAGTTCAAAATGTGTAACTTGAAAGTTATAATGTGGCTCAATTTTCGATAGGATGATATATGAAGCAAGCATCTTTTTTTAACAGGTTTTACTACTCAATTTCCAAGTGCAGGATTTTTTAAGACGTCATAAAATTGTAATGATACCGGGTGGGTCGTTCGTGTGCCCAACATTGTTTTGATTTATTAGATAAGTTTCGATTTTACGAACACAACTTGCAGCTTCATTGATATGGCACACATAATTAGTTTTACTAGACTATAATTGCCCATAATTGCACCATTGGCGCAAATGCAAAACAACACGCACAATGTGATTACAATTTTAAAAACAGTTGGCTCTGGAACAAGATCATTAGGTATGCATCTGATATATCAAAAAAAATCTGAATTAGAAACCCATGTACAATTCGATAGCAAAATGAGTACGTGCACGCAATTAACAGCCAGGAGACAGCAAACGGGGATATTGCTTCTCGTTTCAAATTAGATGTAACCGCGGCATCTCGAATCTGGACCACTAAATTGATTAATTAATCTCACCTGAAAATTTCTTGTTAACACTGTGAAGTAAATCTATACGGGAAAGGCAGCATCCGAGTTTAATTTTGAGGGATTTGGTAATGACACATTTAAAGTCGTACACCGAAGTTAATTAGTACAATTTTAACTGTAAGTTAATGTTAACAACAGTCGGTGACTGCGCTAAGTAGATTTGATTCGAGGTTATGTAGATGTACTTATACTTAATTAATATTTCAGGTCCCAATTTAAAAACTGCGATTGCGATTCTCAACTGTCTGCTCGCTCGGCAACTGTGCTTCGAAGATCCCTCTTGCTCAGCTATTCTGGAAATTATTCCGCGAGTTTGTGGACCGGAATTAGGTGAGTTACTTTTGCATATTTAGATTCTAATCCTCAAATTATGCTCTCTTATAATTTGTAATGTGTACTATGTAAATTACTTTGAAACTGGAACCAGCAGCGTTCTGCAGTGTAGTTTCAATTCCATGCCGTACGTACGCATTTACAGAGTTAAATACTATCTACAGTGTTGTGCAAATGCATATACAAACGTGATTCGCGTTATCAACTTATCGTCGAGGGAAACTTATAACAGTTAACACACACTTAGAGCCGCCGAGGATGAGAGAAATATCTAACGTGCGAACTCTGATGTTAAACTTTTTGGAGTAAAACTACCACCTAAAGTGTTAAATTACGTCACTATTAGGAGTTTCCAAAAAAGCTGTATCGATTCATCCCTTTTATAAAACGGGTACATCGTTATAACAACTACCTACGGTACTCCAATTACCTGCGTTTGGGAGGAAGATCTCTTTTAAATTAAAATCCCGGAACGATTCCATTTTTAAACAACCTCTTATGATTTTCAAATATTTAAAATGCGGAAATTCATCTTTGGTGTAGCATAGTTTTAGTATAAAATTTACATGAGAAACATATTCCGAATAAGTTACATCAGATTAACCACATATAAAACAACCCGGATTTATTTCAACGTTCCTATTTTAGTACTTTTATTTTCTTCTGCTTGTCCGGACTCGCAAGTTTTCACTCGGTTTCTAATTTGTGTCTCAAGTTAGTTTTTATTGGCTTCCTGTTATCCCTTCCCTTGTCAAAAAGTTTTCTGCATTGAAAGCTACATGCTCCCTTTTTGTTTTTCATTGCTTTAATAATCTATAATACCCATTACGTGAACCAAAGTTTATCGATCACACTCGGACATGACTACTGAAATGTTTTCGTCCAAACTTTTTTTATTTATCTAATTAATTAATTAGGATTGAGGAGAAATAAAACTGATATCCATCATTTCTGTTATTATCTTCGTTTTGCTTAGGTTTACTTGTATTCCGACATTATATTATGTAGCTCTAGACAGAAATGGAATTGTGTAGATCAGTCGAATCGTGAGGATTGCAATTTAGGTAACATTTTATCTGGAACACTAGATATATCTTCAAAACAACATTTTATTAAAAAAGCTTTTTATGGTATATCCAAAATTTAAAAAATTTTACGATTACCTACAATGAAGATATGGCTGTTCCTAAAGCGACAACGGCTCGATTTGTGTTCTTTAAATAGCATATAAGTCGCTTTTTTCTTAAGGAAGTGTTCGTACCTACAGGCGCTACTAGAATTACGTTTGAAGACGTTTTTAGAAGCCTGAAAAGCTCCTTCGTAATTTTTTGTTGGTCATTATTTGCAAATTTTAGTAAAAATCAGGAGCCTTAGAAACTTTCTTATAAATGTGTTTGGAGCGATTAGTAATCTTTTTAACTTAAATATCTTTTCGGAAACATTTTTGGAACTGGTTTTCTTAGAAATACACTTCTTCTTGAAAGTGGTTACAAGAAACTTCAAAAATCTTATCTTATCGCAAGTTTTTCTATGGAATCTTACTAAAATCGTAAAAATCTTTTTAGAAACCTTGGAAAGCCCTTTAGAGGTCATTGAAATCTTTAAAATCTTGCTAGTAATTTTCTTAGAAAAATCTGGAGCAAACTTTCTACTGTCGTAAAGGTGGCAGTAACATCACTATCTCTACAATTGTGGGAACTTTGACTCATACATTAATTAGTGTTTTTAAACTGCTGCATTTGAACAATTACGTTCTACTAACGATATGGATTGCATAAGCCACCAAGATAAAGTGGACACTATGAGACAAGCGTGTTAAATTCTGGTCGTCAATTACTATAATTAATTATAAAGTTCATGATAATATGCGAGGAGGTACCACAACAATCAGCCTTGTGATGTATCACTAACGTTAATCTTAACTTGCAGGTTATCTGTAGAAAACGTTAATTTGCCCATACTAAATAACGCAAAAATTTTGAGAGTTAACCTGCACGTTAAGTTTGACGTTTCTGGGCAGGTTTTTTCCCAATCTATCTATAATGAAATGTTTTTAGGGAACAAAAATCCTAAATATCTTACGAATCCTTTTGGAAACATATTTAAACCGCGGAAACCTTAATTTTAGGTAGGCTTATCCTAATTGAAAAAGGGTTTTTTTTTCTTTGGAAGTCCTCTTTGAAATGATTTTAGGATTACCCATAGAAATCTTCCCGGATTCTGAATTACGATAGGGTGGTGGACAGAGTCCACGCGTACATAGGCCTCAAATTCTGCCCCTTTGTACTATCTTCCCAACTAGATTCGTTCGAGCCCTCTACTCAATCCATCTCACACTTGAAATGAACCTAAGGATGCTGGAAGGGGAAGTGGCTCTAATCGTAACCATGTCCGGCCAGGAGACCCTAACATGGATCGTCTCAGTTGGACTAGAGCGGGACATTCACCAAGTATGTGGTGTGTCGTCTCATCGTCTGTGTAACATTCTCTACAAGATGTTTTATTTATTTATTATCCCTCTCTTGTTCTGGGCCCTCAACAAGCTTGCGCCCAATTACAGAGTGGCCCGCATAATGCTTTTTAGAGGTGCCTCTTCGGCATGCCCTTCGACCCATGCGAGCTCAAGGGTCTGCTTGATACTTGCTCTAGGGTGACCAATGCGAAAACCACTTTGACGAATTCTTCTAATTATAACACATTTAAAAATTATTGACACTCTGGAAAGGATTTTTAACGGGACTCCGTCTTAAGACGAAAAAGATAAATCTGCGCAACAGATTCCAAGACAGAGGTCATCTTTACCAGAAAAATTGACTTTTTTCATTCTTCAACAATTGGGGTAGATCAAACCGAACAGAATGGGCTGATAAACCACAAAAAAGCACATTTTTCTTTATTTCGTGAATAACCAGGCAAGACAGAGTAAAAAACAGTATTGTCAAAGAAGTAGGTCATAATCATTGAGATGAAAGAAACCAACTAATCACATCTGTAGAATAAATGACAATAGGCAGGTGAAACGGGAGTAGAGAAATCCAGGACAAAAGGTAGACCAAGGAATAAATGAATAAATTTCCATTTTTCCGTCTAGCTCTCGTGATTTTGTTTTCATTTCAAATGTAGAAGTGCACGTATTGTATATTATGAAACTTACTATTAGCTGCAACTAAAAGAAGGAGCTTGTAGGCGAAAATAAGCAGCTATATAGTTTAATTAGGTATTCAAAATATTATCTGACAAAAAATTCAACCCACCGGAGACCTTATTGTCTTTTATTCGCACGGGTTTTTGGTGAAAAAAACCTCAAAAACCAAAAAAAATAAGCTGCTTACATGTTTCGACGTCTTGAACATGAAGTCATTAACAAGGAAGAAGGTGGAGAATGTAGATGTCACGGCGAGATCAAAGAGGGAAAGAAACATTTTACAGCAAATGCCCTCTTAATCGTTACCCGAATAATTTTTTTAAGAAACAAAGAAGAAAGAAATTTTAAATATTTATTGATCCAGGTCTTTTATAGCACATATAAGCTAAATATAATTTTATTATGCACAAAAACTACGCGAAAGGCCATTTCGCCTCGGAAGCGCTTTTCATATAAAAATATAATTGCAATAATATGAAGACTTCTTGCAAACGTAATTAAAATTTTCAGTAAGCGTAAAACAATTAAATCATGAAAGGATGTTTGAAAAGAAAGTGTAACGTAAAACCGCGTTATTTACGCTAAGCCTTTGCTTTTTATCGTTTTCGGATTTGAATAACATTTCGCACTCGAACTGAACATCATAACGAGTTCCCGTTAACCTGAAATTTTTTATTTGGGCAGGTGACTATTGGGAAACTGCCGTGTAATTGCCTTTACGGCGAATTAACTTTTTACTCGAGGAATCTGGACGAACTACACGTTTCAGCTGGTTATCGCTAATTAATTTAGTTTTTGTAAAATCTGTACGTTCACTCATTAATAAAAATCTGTGGACTAAAATTAGTTAAGTACCTTTCATAGTTAAAATTGAAGGGTTAGCTTCTTATGGCTCATTCACGGTGATTTGTTTTCTCATTTCCGTGTGTAAAAGATTAGAAATTAACTGCGCCGAACAGCTGTGAGGGAAATTCTGTTCCATAAGAAAAACCAAAGTGTAGTTCGCTTTAATTTCAAAGTTCTTGTCAGAGCCTTAGGCCGAGCATTTTTGTTTTGATTATAGTTTAGGCCTCTGTGATTGGTAGAGATAATAACAATGGTGTGCTAACCACAAGTTTTGTACAATAACATAACCTCCCTTTTATTTCATCGACACCGCCAACAAAAGGACTTTTCTTTTTTACTGCCTTCGACATTAGTTAACACGCCGTAAGAGATCTTTTGTTTAAAAAGGGAGGCTATTTGCAGAATGACGTTTCCTATACTAATAACGATTTGAAAATGTATAGTGAGGGATGTAACGTTTGTGTTAGTTTTGTTCGATTGCACATTGACTGTTCGACTATTATATGATTATGGAGAAATTCTGCTGTCGCCAAGCTGTATTGATCTTTTGAAAGCCGTTTAATTATTAAAGACTTTAGTTATAGATGATTGTCACTATGAAGATAAAAGACATGTACCTATGTGCAATTAAATCACTCGATTTCTATGTTACTGTCGTCGATCCGATTGAAACCAAGAGCTTCTTATAGAATTAAGTAACCTTTCATGCAATGTAACACACGGCCTGATCTCTAAGCTTTAAGGGATGTTAAATGTTGTGTCCCTTGACATTGTTTGGGCAACTTTTAAAAATACATATTCAAATTTAATTCACCAACTCTGTACCTACATATAATTGCGTTACCATCGACAGATCATGCTTACACGCAAATCCACCCTAAATCTGCACTTTCATTTCGTGCGCGATGTCAGCTGGGCGTTTTGAAATGCCCATAATTTTTTATTAATTTCGTTGTTTGTGCTGCTTACTTCACGGAGTCTTCTTCTTCACAGGGAATTTAATTAT